AAGGTTGTTCAATTATCTGTACTGTATTCTATGAAAAGTTATAGCCAAATAACCAGAAAAAGGAAGCACAACTTGCTCAGGTTGATATCAGGAAACTTTCCTTCATCCGATAGTAGCCAATGAGCGTGAGTGTTTAGAGAGCCAATTGGGTGTCGTCTTGTTTTGGCCATGAGCCAATCAGATCACAGTAGGATCCAGTTATTGATGTCATGTATTGAAGCTGAGAGGAGGACATTTGTCAGTGTGTTATGTGATGGCTATCAAGTTGGTTGGGTTTTTTTTGTGTTCTTTCATTTAGTGAGCTTGTAATTAAAGTCACGGTGCAAAGAGTTGACTGGTCACCCAGAAAGCGATGTAAAATAGTATTGTGAAGTGAACAAGGCTACAGTGATAAAGAAATTAGAAGAAAAATGGGTGGAAACTTAACCAAAGGTGGCATTTCTACTGGACACTTTTCCCAAAAGGTTCCCACAATTTTGGCTGCTACTGTAGTATGCTTTGCAAACAGAGAAACCACTTTCAGACACCAGAGGGCGCTCGAACCATTCTTCTTCTTCTTCTTCTTCTTCTTCTTCTTCTTCTTCTTCTTCTTCTTCTTCTTCTTCTTCTTCTTCTTCTTCTTCTTCTTCTTCTTCTTCTTCTTCTTCTTCTTCTTCTTCTTCTTCTTCTCCTTCTCCTTCTCCTCCTTCTCCTTCTCCTTCTCCTTCTCCTTCTCCTCCTCCTCCTCCTCCTCCTCCTCCTGCTTCTTCTTCTTCTGCCATATCCATTATCGGACATTGGCGATCATGTTGGCAATCCTGTTTTTATTAGCAGCCGCACAAAAAAGTGTGGCCGAGTTTTGTCCAAACTAGTCTCTTAGATTTTGAAGCCACAATGTTCTTCTTCTGCCTGGACCTCATTTGCCTTCAATCTTTCCCTGGAGGATTAAATGGAGTATGGCGTATTTTCCTGGGTGTCGCATCACATGTCCAAAATATTCTAACTTTTGTTTTTTAATTCTTTTGATGATTTCCCTTGGCTTTCCCAGGCGGCTTATCCCCTCCTCATTTCCGATCTTGTCAACCCAGCTTATACGTAACAGCCGCCTGTAAATCCACATTTCAAATGCTTCTCTAATCTCTTCAGGTGGCCTTCAGACCAACTCTCTAGAGCAGGATAGAAAAAAAATATAACATCTGACAAGCCTGATTTTTCAATCTTAGGCTTAGGTCGAGATAAGCTCAAAGCACAAAAAACCCCAGTTGTTACTGTGTGTGTGTGAACTAAGCCCAGCTGGGCTGTTTCCGAATATATAGGACACGGGCAATATGTGAGAAGCTGGCATTGTGTATAGGATGCTTAGGAAAATCTATGGGACGCACGAGCTTTTCAGGGAAAGAAGAAAATGTCTGTATTATTTTAATACACTGTATACTTTCCCAAGGCATTGCATCTAATACTTGCCCAGGCGTTGTGCAGAATGACAAGAACTGCTTAGGCAAGGTATGAAAAGAGAGGCGTGGAAAGGGGCTTGGGTTAAGGGTTCAGGTTAAAAATTAAGGTTTCGGGTTAAAAGTTAAGAAGGCTTAGGCTTAAGAGTTAGAAAGGCTTAGGGTTAGGGTTAAAATTAGGGTTAGGGTTAAGGTTAGGGATATGATTATGATTAGAGTTAGGGATTAATGTTAAGGGTTAGGGTTAAGGGTTATGGTTAGAGATAGAGATAGAGTTAGGGTTAAGGTTAGGGTTAGGGTTAGGGTAAGGGATAAAATTAGGGTTAGGGTTAGGGTTAGGGATATGATTATGATTATGATTAGAGTTAGGGATTAATGTTAAGAGTTAGGGTTAAAATTAGGGTTAGGGTTAAGGTTAGGGATATGATTATGATTAGGGTTAAGGATTAATGTTAAGGGTTAGGGTTAAGGATTAGGGTTAGAGTTACATTTAGGGTTAGGGTTAGGGATATGATTATGATTAGGGATTAATGTTAAGGGTTAGGGTTAAGGGTTAAGGTTAGAGAGAAATAGGGTTAGGGTTAAGGTTAGGGTTAGGGTTAAAATCAGGGTTAGAGTTAAAGTTAGGGGTTAGGGTTAAGGGTTAGGGTTAGAGAGAAATAGGGTTAGGGTTAGGGTTAAGGTTAGGGTTAGGGTTAAAATCAGGGTTAGAGTTAAAGTTAGGGATATGATTATGATTAGGGTTAAGGATTAATGTTAAGGGTTATGGTTAAGGATTAGGGTTAGGGTTACGTTTAAGGTTAGGGTTATGATTAGGGTTAGGGTTAAGGTTAGGGATATGATTATGATTAGGGATTAATGTTAAGGGTTAGGGTTAAGGTTAGGGTTAGGGTTAGGGTAAGGGATAAAATTAGGGTTAGGGTTAAGGTTAGGGATATGATTATGATTACAATTAGGGATTAATGTTAAAGGTTAGGGTTAAGGGTTATGGTTAAAATTAGGGTTAGGGTTAAGGTTAGGGATATGATTATGATTAGGGTTAAGGATTAATGTTAAGGGTTAGGGATAAGGATTAGGGTTAGGGTTATGTTTAGGGTTAGGATTAGGGTTAGGGTTAAGGTTAGGAATATGATTATGATTAGGGATTAATGTTAAGGGTTAGGGTTAAGGATTAGGGTTAGAGATAGAGATAGAGTTAGGGTTAGGGTTAAGGTTAAAATCAGGGTTAGGGTTAAGGTTAGGGATATGATTATGATTAGAGTTAGGGATTAATGTTAAGGGTTAGGGTTAAGGGTTAGGGTTAAAATTAGGGTTAGGGTTAAGGTTAGGGATATGATTACGATTAGGGATTAATGTTAAGGGTTAGGGTTAGGGTTAAAAAGGGTTAGGGTTAGAGTTAAGGATTAAGGGTTAAAAGTTAAGGGTTAGGGTTAGGGCTAGTGTTAGGGTTAAAATTAGGGTTAGGATTAGGGTTAAAGCTAGGGATAGGGTTAGGTTTAGGGACTAATGTTAAGGGTTAGGGTTAGGGTTAGAAAGGGCTAGGGTTAAGGTTAGGGTTAGAGTTAGGATTAGAATTAGGACTAGGATTACCCTAATCCTAATCCTAACCCTAACTCTTTTTTTTTTTTTGAAAAGCTGTATATGAAAATGAAAAAAGAAATGCAAAATAAAACACAGGACTTTCTTACTGGAAAAAAAAACCCAACAGAAAAAGACTAATATTGCCACAAGGAATGCTAGACTGGCATTTTAGCAGGAGTATTTTATACCTGGCCTGTTTGCCTTTTGACATTACATTACATGGTAGGCCTAGTAAATGTGTGAAATATTAAATGTTTCATACTTGGACATCCCATTTTTGGCGTTCTATAGATTTCCTGGGCATTCTATAAAAGGCCTAATTTTACACATGGAGGATAACAATATATTTGTGCATTCTCCATCCTGGCCAGCTGTTTTAGAAACAGGTGTGACTTATTCGATTTTTTTTTTAACCTGTTGTGTTTTTTACAGGCCAACTTTGCAACTGTCTAAAATTACACAAGTCACTTCTGATCAATTTGAAAGATTAGACGTGTATCTTCTCTTCCTTGGGGGGACCCAGAAGGTGTCCACAAGCCTCTTTGCTGATCTGAAATGTAATTTTCTTCTTGCCATCTGGCAGGGCGGTGAGCATCATGGGGCCTGAAGTCCGTTGCTATCTTCCCATGCATCCGACGAATTGAAGAGAGGTCCTGCCAACGCTGCTAACATCGGATGTTCTTGCTTTGACAACGTATGGAGATGCAGCCCTTTTCCTTCTTATGTTTTACTCTTAGAATTAGAGTTAGAATTAGATGATAGTGGGGGGGGAGGAGGAGGAATGTGCATGGGAGTTAGTTAGACATAACAATATTGTAATAGTGTGAGAACCAAGATTTTTTGAAATAAGAGATGATAAGAAATGGCGGGCTGGAGAACTGGAGGGGAAGCCTGCATTTCAAGCTAATTGGAGAATTTGATTTATGACTGTTAATTGGAGGAGGGAATTGTGCTTTGATACTATGTGCTTAGGGGAGGGAAATTCAGATTTTGGCTTGGCCTGAGTACGAGCCGATGCTATGCTACCCAAATAAAGATTCTTTAAGGTAAACAATGCCTCGAAGTTCTTTTGAAGGGTTTCATCTGTCGGAACCATGACAGGTCCGTCCTAGAACTAAGGAGAAATTCCCTGACAGTGAGAACCGTGAATCAGTGGAACCGCTTGCCACCAGACGTTGTAGGTGCTCCATCACTGGAAGCTTGTCTGAAGGTCTCAAAAGGGGACCACATAACCGTCGTAAGTAGGAGCCAGTTGCCAAGTGACTGAATTTTGATTGCGTGGCCGTGGGGATGTTGTGGGGGTGGTGGGGGTGGAGAACGGACATTTTTTTCAGTGCCATTGTAACTTTGAACCGTTGTAAGTCAAGTTATGGATGCTCCGTTGCTGGAGGCTTTTAAAAAGAGACTGTCTGAAATAGTACAGGGTCTAGTCCAAGCAGGGGGCTGGACTAGAAGATCTCCAAGGTCCCAACTCTGTTATTCTAGGTTCTAAGTGTTTAAAAAGGGGTTGGACAGCCATTTGTCAGAAATGGTATAGGGTCTCCTGCTTGAGCAGGGGGTTGGACTAGAAGACCTCCAAGGTCCCAATTCTGTTATTCTATGTTCTAAGTGTTTAAAAGGGGATTGGACAGCCATTTGTCCAGAAATGGTATAGGATCTCCTGCTTGAGCAGGGGGTTGGACTAGAAGACCTCCAAGCTCCCTTCCAACTCTGTCTTTCTGTCCTGTTCTTATCCAGGAGAGAAGCAACCTTGAACTAAGGAGAAATGTCCTGACAATGAGAACAATTAATCAGTGGAACTACCTGCCTCCAGAAGCTGTGGGTGTTCCATCACTGCAGGTTTTAAAGAAGAGATTGGACAGCCGTTTGTCCAGAATTGTGTAGAGTCTCCTGCCTGAGCAGGGGGCTGGACTAGAAGACCTCCAATAACTCTGTTATTCTGTTATGGAGCAATCCGACTCAGAGGGACCGCATCCTGCTCAGTGCTTGTTATGCCCCTTCACGGCCGCTGGAAGGTCTGATCATCATCCGTGTGGCTTTTAATGAGTATCCTGGTCCCTGGAAGTAATGCCAGCGGACGCCGTTCAGTTTCCGGATGTTGTGCCGAGCCGGATAATAAATACCGTTGAGGTTGGATTGGCCGCAGGCATCAAACCACCAGCCTGTTGATGGAAGGATGTGGAAAGGTCAGTCCCTGGATCATACCTAACAATGATTTACATCTTCAAATTAACCATCGGGTAGTTATAGAACTGGTTTGTAAACACGACAAGAAGTGATAATAATTCTGCTTTGTGTTGCATTACTGAGGCCACACTTGGAATCCTGCAGCCAGTTTTAGTCGCCACGATGTAAAAAAGAGGTTGAGACTCTGGGAAGAGTGCAGAGAAGAGCAACAAAGATGATCAGGGGACTGGAGGCTAAAACATATAAAGAACGGTTGCTGGAATTGGATAAAACCCTAATAAGGCCACACCTGGAATACTGCAGCCAATTTCGGTCACCATACCACAAAAAAGATGTTGAGACTTTGGAAAAAGTTCAGAGAAGAGCAACTAAGATGATCCAAGGCCTGGAGACCAAAACATACGAAGAACGGCTGCAGGACTTGGGTTTGGCTAGTGACTAAAGAAAAGAAGAAACAGGGGAGACATGATAGCAGTACTCCAGTATTTGAGGGGCTGCCACAAAGAAGAGGGGGTCAAATTATTCTCCAAAGCTCCTGAAGGCAGGACGAGAAACAATGGTGGGAAACTGACCAAAGAGAGAAGCAACCTGGAATTAAGGAGAGACTTCCTGACAGTGAGGACAATCAACCAGTGGAACAGCTTGCCACCAGAAATCATGGGTGCTCCATCAATGGAGGTTTTTAAGAACAGATTGGACAATCACCTGTCTGAGATGGTGTAGGTTTTCCTGCTTGAGCAGGGGGCTGGTCTAGAAGACCTCTGAGGGCCCATTCCATTCCATTCCATTCTATTCTATTCTATTCTATTCTATTTATTCTATTCGGTTCTATTCTATTCTATTTCATTCTATAATCTGTTTATTCTATTCTATTCTATTCTATTCTATTCTATTCTATTCTATTCTATTCTATTCTATTCTATTGCATTCTATAATCTGTTTATTCTATTCTATTCTATTCTATTCTATTCTATTCTATTCTATTCTATTCTATTCTATTCTATTGCATTCTCGGGGTCACCTGAATGGTGCAAATGGGTATGGAGCCTTCTTGGCTGCTGGATGTTTTCTCCCCTGGGTCCCCCCACCTCCAAGTGGCCTCAACGACTCCCTAAAAGGATGCAAATGACCAGCTGTCTGCAAGGAGTATAAATCCTTCCATTCCCCACCATCCGGTCAGAGCTGAAGAAGCTTCTTGGATGAGAAGCGAAACATCTTCAAAGAAAACTAAGAAAGTCCAGTTGCCTCCTGACAAAAAGCACCTTTGGGACAGCCCTGACCTGGGTGGCTGAGAACCTCCACGGACAGAGCTGTCGTAAGTTCGAACCGTCCCTAAACGAATGGCTGTAAGTTGAGGACAATGCGTGATGACCCTGCAGGATTTTCCGAACACCTCTGAACTGCAGCCTGTCCGTTTCAAAGCCCCCTGCTCCTCCTGCATCCCATAATACTTCCTCTCCGGGAATAGAATTAGGAATAGAATAGAATAGAATAGAATAGAATAGAATAGAATAGAATAGAATAGAATAATAGAATAGAATAGAATAGAAGAGAATAGAATAGAATAGAATAGAATAGAATAGAAAATAATAATAGAATTAGGAATAGAATAGAATAGAATAGAATAGAATAGAATAGAATAGAATAGAATAGAATAGAATAGAATAGAATAATAGAATAGAATAGAATAGAATAGAATAGAAGAGAATAGAAGAGAAGAGAATAGAATAGAATAGAATAGAATAGAATAGAAAATAATAATAGAATAGAATAGAATAGAATAGAATAGAAGAGAATAGAAGAGAAGAGAATAGAATAGAATAGAATAGAAGAGAATAGAATAGAAGAGAAGAGAAGAGAATAGAATAGAATAGAATAGAATAGAAAATAATAATAGAATAGAATAGAATAGAATAGAATAGAATAGAAGAGAATAGAATAGAAGAGAATAGAATAGAATAGAAGAGAATAGAAGAGAATAGAATAGAATAGAATAGAATAGAATAGAATAGAAAATAATAATAGAATAGAATAGAATAGAATAGAATAGAATAGAATAGAATAGAATAATAGAATAGAATAGAATAGAATAGAAGAGAAGAGAATAGAAGAGAATAGAATAGAATAGAATAGAAAATAATAATAGAATAGAATAGAATAGAATAGAATAGAATAGAATAGAATAGAATAGAATAGAATAGAATAGAATAGAATAGAATAGAATGGACCTTGGAGGTCTTCTAGTACAACCCCCTGCTCAAGCAGGAGAACCTATACCATCTCAGACAGGTGACTGTCCAGCCTCTTCTTAAAAACCTCCAGTGATGGAGCACCCATGATTTCTAGTGGCCAACTGTTCCACTGGTTAACTGTCCTCACTGTCAGGAAGTTTCTCCTTAATTCCAGGTTGCTTCCCTCTTGGATCAGTTTCCCTTCCTTCCTTCCTTCCTTCCTTCCTTCCTTCCTTCCTTCCTTCCTTCCTTCCTTCCTTCCTTCCTTCCTCCCTCCCTCCCTCCCTCCCTCCCTCCCTCCCTCCCCCTTGTCAGAGCACACTCACCGCCAGAGAGCATTTGGGCGCATTTGCACAGGCAGTTGTCGTTGTCGGAGTCCCAAGTGCTGAAGGAGGTTCCCTGGAGAGGCAGGGCGCTTTGGAGGCCGGCCGAGCCCTTGTAGCCTCTGAGCGCCAGCCTGGAACAAAAGGAGCAGAGCCCAGAGGAGCAGAGGTGAAGCCTCTCCTGGTTTGGACTAGAAGACTTCGGCAGAAGCAGACAAAGATTGCGACATGGCACGGAAGCGTTGCCCGAGCAGGGTCCCCGGGATTGTCTGGGACGCCGCACATCCTCTCCACGACCTGTTTTTTTTGTTACCTTCTGGGAAGGGGGGGGGGGCTTTGTGGTACCCGAAGCAGAACATCCAGATCCAGTCACAGTTTTGTGCCAGACAGTATCAACCTTGTGAATTCTAAAGCTTCCTCCTTCCGCTATGTGTTCAAGATGGACAGTGATTTAATATTTATGTCTCTATCTTTCATTCTGTCTGTCTATCTGTCTGTCAGTCAGTCAGTCAATCTATCTTTCATTCTGTCTGTCTATCTATCTATCATCTATCTATATCTATACCTATACCTCTCTCTCTCTCTCTCTCTCTCATTCAGTCAGTCAGTCAATCTTTCATTCTGTCTATCTATCTATCTGTCTGTCTGTCAGTCAGTCAATCTTTCATTCTGTCTGTCTATCTATATATCATCTATCTATATCTATATCTATATCCATATCTATATCTATATCTATACCTATACATCTGTCTGTCTGTCTGTCTGTCTGTCAGTCAGTCAGTCAGTCTATCTTTCATTGTGTCTGTCTGTCTGTCTATCTATCTATAATCTATCTATCTATAATCTATCTATCTATTTCTATTTCTATTATTTCTATTTCTATTTCTATTTCTATTTCTATTTCTATTCTATTTCTATACCTATACCTATACCTATACCTATACCTATACCTATACCTATCTATCTATCTATCTATCTATCTATCTATCTATCTATCTATCTATCTATCTATCTATCATCTATCTATCTATCTATCTATCTATCTATCTATCTATCTATCTATCTATCTACCTACCTACCTACCTACCTACCTACCTACACACACACACACACGTATCTCACCTATAGCGCTGGCGCTCGCTCGCAACCCGGAATTTGTCATACTGGGCATAAGCGCGGTTGCCTTCCCAGTCCAGAAGCTCCACCCGTAGAGCGTAGGCAGCTTGGTTGGTGAAGAGATGGACGGCCTCATTGCCCAGCCAGTATTCTCCAGCTGCAGCCCCGAAGCCCTGGGAGAGAGAGGGACAGAGACAGTCAATGGGAGGCAGGAGGGAAGGAGGGAGAGAAGGGAGAGGGGAGAGGGGGAAGGAAGGAAGGAAGGAAGGAAGGAAGGGGAGAGAGGGAGGGAGGAAAGAAGGGGAAAGGGAGGAAGGAAGGAAGGAGAGAGAGGGAGGGAGGAAAGAAGGGGAAAGGGAGGAAGGAAGGAAGGAAGGAGAGAGAGGGAGGGAGGGAGGGAAGGGGCCTGAGGAAGAGAAGGAGGGAGAGAAGGAGGGAGGAGGAAGAAAGGAGGGGAGAGAGGGAGGGAGAGAAAAAAGGGGGGAGGGAGGGAGGGAGGGAGGAAGAGGGGATAGGAGGAAGGAAGGAAGGAAAGGGAGAGAGGGAGGGAGGAAAGGGGAAAGGAAGGAAGGGAGGGAGGAAAGGAGAGAGAAGGAGTGAGGAAAGAAGGAAGGAAGAGAGAGGAAGGAAGGGACGGGGACAGGAAGGGAAGGAGGGAGGGAGGGAGAGAAGGAGGGAGGGAGGAGAAAGGAAGGAAGGAGGGGAGAGAGAGAGAGGAAAGACGGGGAGGAAGGAAGTGAGGAAGGAAGAGGAGAGAGGGAGGGAGAGGAAAAAGGAAGGGAGGGAGGGAGGAAGGGAGGAAGGGAGGGAATGCAGACAGGCAGGAGAGAAGAAGGAAGGAAGGAAGGAAGGAAGGAAGGAAGGAAGGAAGGAAGGAAGGAAGGAAGGAAGGAAGGAAGGAAGGAAGGAAGGAAGTCTTTTCTTAAAAGCCCCCAGCGATGCTTGTCTTGCCCTCTGGTGCTTTGGAACTTAAACCAATCCCTTCTTCCCTGTTGACAGACCCTCAAGTATTGGTGATACTCTGAGGTTTCCCCTCAGCCCGATAACGGATGCCGTCCCTCTGTTGATGCAGCCCATTGGCTTTTTTTTCTTTTGGCACCTGCAGCACAGGGCCAGCTCGTATTGAAGTGATGGTCCAGGGGGACACCTGGATCCTTCACTTTAAGCAACTTTCCCTGACCCTTGGCCTTCAATGAGCGCCTTTCTTCCAAGACCTTTGGACCCCTCTGGACATCACCGTGGTTAACTGGAAAGCACCACCTGCAGCCCACCTGTTTATACTCTTTCCAGCTTTTTTGGAAGCTGACGCTGCCGTTGACCCGGCGTTGAATCACGGTCCAGCCTCCTCCGTCGGTTTCCATGTCGCAGAAGGCCTGGAAAGGTGGAAAGAAAGAACAATAAATGTCTAGATTCTCGGTCACCCAGGTCAGGGCTGTCCCAACGGTGCTTTTTTCACGAAGCAACTGGACCTTCTTGTTTTTCCTTTGAAGACGTTTTGCTTCTCATCCCAGAAGCTTCTTCCAGTTCTGACTGAATGGTGGGGAAGGGAAGGATTTATACTCCTTGCAGACAGCTGGCCATTTGCCTCCTTTTAGAGCAGACATGTGAAACACAAGGCCTGGGGGCCGGATGCGGCCCGTGAAGTGGTCTCATGTGACCCGCGAAGCCATCCTGGAAACAGTGAGGGAACGGCCCCCTCTGCCTTGGCCCTGGCCCAGGCCGGCCGGGAGCCAATGTACAATTTTGTGGTGGCCATCTATGCTGAAACGCATTCAGTCTTAGCTCCACAAGGCCGTCTGGAAACAACGAGGAACCAGACCCTGCCGCGTCGGCCCCGGCCCCTGGGTGCATGCTGGGGAGGTGTCCCCCTTTGTGAGGAATGAAGAAATGAACCATGCCTTGGCGCTTGCCCCGGTCCCACCCCCTTCTGCCAGAGACCCTCAGATCTGTCCCACTCCTGCCCAGGCCCCCACAGGCACCCTTGACGCGAACGATGTAGAGCTGGCCACGCCCACCCAGTAGGCCACACCCACTCCAGCCATGCCCACCCAGTAGGCCACGCCCAACCTGGCCACACCTATCCGCACCCCCCGAGGACAACTGCAATGCTGATGCGGCCCTCAATGAAATTGAGTTTGACACCCCTGTTTTAGAGAGTCCTTGAAGCCACTTGGAGGTTTACCTGTGTCCTCANAGGAGGGGAGAGAGAGAGAGGAAAGACGGGGAGGAAGGAAGTGAGGAAGGAAGAGGAGAGAGGGAGGGAGAGGAAAAAGGAAGGGAGGGAGGGAGGAAGGGAGGAAGGGAGGGAATGCAGACAGGCAGGAGAGAAGAAGGAAGGAAGGAAGGAAGGAAGGAAGGAAGGAAGGAAGGAAGGAAGGAAGGAAGGAAGGAAGTCTTTTCTTAAAAGCCCCCAGCGATGCTTGTCTTGCCCTCTGGTGCTTTGGAACTTAAACCAATCCCTTCTTCCCTGTGACAGACCCTCAAGTATTGGTGATACTCTGAGGTTTCCCCTCAGCCCGATAACAGATGCCGTCCCTCTGTTGATGCAGCCCATTGGCTTTTTTTTCTTTTGGCACCTGCAGCACAGGGCCGGCTCGTATTGAAGTGATGGTCCAGGGGGACACCTGGATCCTTCACTTTAAGCAACTTTCCCTGACCCGTGGCCTTCAATGAGCGCCTTTCTTCCAAGACCTTTGGACCCCTCTGGACATCACCGTGGTTAACTGGAAAGCACCACCCGCAGCCCACCTGTTTGTACTCTTTCCAGCTTTTTTGGAAGCTGACGCTGCCGTTGACCCGGCGTTGAATCACGGTCCAGCCTCCTCCGTCAGTGTCCATGTCACAAAAGGCCTGGAAAGGTGGAAAGAAAGAACAATACATGTCTAGATTCTCGGTCACCCAGGTCAGGGCTGTCCCAACGGTGCTTTTTTTCACAAAGCAACTGGACTTTCTTGTTTTTCCTTTGAAGACGTTTTGCTTCTCATCCCAGATGCTTCTTCCGGTTCTGACTGAATGGTGGGCAAGGGAAGGATTTATACTCCTTGTAGACGGCTGGTCCTTTGCCTCCTTTTAGAGCAGACATGTGAAACACAAGGCCCGGGGGCCGGATGCAGCCCGCGACGTGGTTTCATGTGGCCCGTGAAGCCATCCTGGAAACAGTGAGGGAACGGCCCCCGCTGCCTTGGGCCTGGCCCAGGCCGGCCGGGAGCCAATGTACAATTTTGTGGTGGCCATCTATGCTGAAACGCATTCAGTCTTAGCTCCACAAGACTGTCTGGAAACAGCGAGGAACCAGCCCCTGCCCCGTCGGCCCCGGGGGGGGTGTCACCCTTTGTGAGGTATGAAGAAATGGACCATGCCTTGGCGCTTGCCCTGGTCCCACCCCTTTCTGCCAGAGACCCTCAGATCTGTCCCACTCCTGCCCAGGCCCCCACAGGCACCCTTGACGTGAACAATGTAGAGCTGGCCATGCCCACCCAATAGGCCACACCCACTCCATCCACACCCACCCAGTAGGCCACACACACCCTGGCCACACACACCGAGGGCAACCGCAATGCTGATGCGGCCCTCAATGAAATTGAGTTTGACATCCCTGTTTTAGAGAGTCCTTGAGGCCACCTGGAGGTTGACCTGTGTCCTCAGCGTCACCTATTCACCCACCCACCTACCCCTCCTTCCATCCATCCATCCACCCATCCACCCATCTATCTACCCACCTGTCCATCCATCTGTCCGTCCGTCCCTCCGTCCCTCAGTCCCTCCGTCCCTCCGTCCCTCTCTCCCTCCCTCCCTCCCTCCCTCCATCCATCCATCTATCTCTCCACCCACCCACCCACCCACCCATCCACCCATCCACCCATCTATCTACCCACCCGTCCGTCCGTCCGTCCGTCCCTCCCTCCCTCCATCTATCCATCCATCCATCCAACCGATCGACTGACTGACTGGACTCATCTAATCTTTCAGTCAACAGACCTTTTTGGGTTCAGTCAGATTGTTAATCTGGAGGGTGTAAACGCCACTGAGGTTGAATCCGGACTGAAGGACGTCCGTGCAGTCCTGGAACAGCCGGTCTTCTTTTTTCAAAAGAACTGTTGGGGGAAAAACAAGCTCTCTGCAGACTTTGGGATCAAAGAAGGGGAGCAGCCGTTTTATTTAAACAAAAAGATAAGACGGGGTGGGGGAGGTTTTGAAACTATTTCGAGGTGGTATTATCAATTAAATGAAATAAAATAAATAATAAAATATAGTAAAATAAAATAAAGTAATAAAATAAAATAAAATAAAGTAATAAAATAAAATAAAATAAAATAAAGTAATAAAATAAAATAAATAAAATACAAATAAAATAAAATAAAAAATAATAAAATAAAATAAAATATAGTAAAATAACAAAAAAATAAAGTAAAATAAAATAACAAAATAACAACATAACATAAAATAACAAAATAAAATAAAGTAAAATAAAATAAATAAAATAATAACAAAATAAAATAACAAAAAATAAAATAAAATATAATAAAACAAAAAAATAATAAAAATAAAATAATAAAATAACATAACGTAAAATAACAAAATAAAACAAAGTAAAATAAAATAAAAACATAACATACAATAAAGTAAAATAAAAGAAAATAATAAAATAACATAACATAAAATAAAGTAAAATAATAAAATAAAATAACAAAAACTAAAATAAAATAAATAAAATAATAAAATAAAATAAAATAAAATAATAAAATAAAATAAAATAAAATAAAATAATAAAATAACAAAACATAAAATAACAAAACATAAAATAACAAAATAAAATAAAGTAAAATAAAATAACAATATAACATAAAATAAAGTAAAATAAAATAATAAACAAAATAAAATAAAATAAAATTAAATTAAAATAAAATAAAATAAAATAATAAAATAAATAAAATAAAATAATAAAATAAAATAAAATAAAATAATAAAATAATAAAATAAAATAATAACATAACATAAAATAAAATAAAATAATAAAATAAAATAAAATAAAATAAAATAAAATAAAATAAAATAAAATAAAATAAAATAAAATAAAATAAATAAATAAAATAAAATAAAATAAAATTAAAATAAAATTAAAATAAAATATAAAATAAAATAAAATAAAATACCTTTTCCTTGGGAGACGAGGGAGACCAAATTCTGGACCGATTCCAGGAGCTGCAGCTGCTGTTGCTGAAGGAGGCTGGCATTGCTGCTGGCCACGTGGAGGGACTTCTCCAGACCTTCGATGGTGTTGCTCTGGTGACTCACCAGCTGCTGGAGATGGTCCTTCTCGGTCCGAATGTCCTCCAGTTCCTTCAAGTGCTTCGTTTCCATCTGCTGGACTCGGGTTTCTAAGAGGCTGCAGAGACAGGAAGATGGTCACAGCAGGAGCTGAGAAGGTCTATTCCAGGGGTCTCCAACCAGGGCTGAGGAATTCTGGGAGTTGAAGTCCACAAGCCTTAAAGTTGCCAAGTTTGGAGACCCCTGGTCTAGCCTAATGGAGAGAAGGACAAAGAGTGACATGATAGCAGTCTTCCAATATCTCAGGGGCTGCCACAAAGAACAGGGGGGATCAATTTATTCTCCAAAGCACCTGAAGGCAGGACAAGAAGCAACAGATGGAAACGAATTAAGGAGAGAAGCAACTTAGAACTAAGGAGAAACTTCCTGACAGTGAGAACAATTAACCAGTGGAACAACCTGCCTCCAGAAGCGGTGAATGCTCCAACACTGGAAGTTTTTAAGAAGAGACTGGACAGCCATCTGTCCGAAATGGTATAGGGTTTCCTGCCTGAGCAGGAGGTTGAACAAGATGACCTCCAAGGTCCAATTCAGCTCTGTTATTACTCTGTTATTATTAACTAAGTTTTTGTCCCATTTTACGACCTTTCTTGCCACAGTTGTGAAGTGAATCACTGCAGTGGCTAAGTGAGTAACACAGTTAAGAGAATCTGGATTCCCCATTGACTTTGCTTGTCAAACGGTCGCAAAACAGGATCACGTGACCTGAGACACTGCAACCGTCATAAGTACATGCCAATTGCCAAGCGTCTGAATTTAGGGATGCTGCAACAGTCATAAATGTGAAAAACGGTCATGTTATTTTTCCAGTACTGTGGTAACTTTGAAAAACCATTAAACGAATGGTAGATAGATAGATAGATAGATAGATAGATAGATAGATAGATAGATAGATAGATGATTGATAGATAGATAGATAGATAGATAGATAGATAGATAGATAGATAGATAGATAGATAGATAGATAGATAGATAGATGATTGATAGATAGGTGATAGATGCTAGATAAATAGGTGATAGATAGATAGATAGATAGATAGATAGATAGATAGATAGATAGATAGATAGATAGATAGATATGATAGAAAATTAGATAGAGATAGATGATAAATAATAGAGATAAATAAATAGATAGATGATATAGATAGATAGATAGATGATAAATAATAGAGAGATAAATAGATAGATGATAGATAGATAGATAGATAGAGATAGTTGATATAGCTGATAGATGATAGATATAGACAGATTATAGATGATAGATAATGATAGAAGATAGATAGAGATAGAGATGATAGATAGAGATGATATAGATGATAGACGATACATAGATGATAGATATAGACAGATTATAGATAGATAGATGATAGATATGATAGAAGACATAGATAAATTGAGATAGATAGATAGATGATAAATAGAGATAGAGATGAATAAATAGATTAGATAGATAGATAGATAGATAGATAGATAGATAGATAGATAGATAGATAGATAGATGATACATAGATGATAGATAGATAGACAGACAGACAGACAGACAGACAGACAGACAGACAGACAGACAGACAGACAGACAGACTTTTTGGGATGGCTTCTACAATATGCACACACACATATATATAGTATATACTTGTGAAGACACTTGGAATTGAGTTGAATTTTCCACACTTCCCTCCCTCCTGTTTTTGCGAATATTGCCAAGATGGGTGAAGATCCCAGGTTATGCCGGCCAGCTGGCTCTGCAATCCTTGGGAGAAGATGGCCGTTGTGAAGTGCAAAGCACGATCTTGGCTTGTTCACAGGACCTCCTGCCTGGGCCAGAAAGATTTTTATTTTAAAGCCACTGGATAGGGATCTTGTTGTGCCAAGAGAGGGGAAGGTCAGCCACGGATGCCAAGATCCCTCGCGAGGGTCATGTCACTTGGTGGAGAACTCAAAACCTTCCCCAGAGGATTTCAGCAGCCTTGTTTTCATTTCCTTAAACAAACACACTTCAGATTGCGAAGAAGGCAGCCTCTCCAGCGCCTTACAAAGCCGAAACAAACTGCTGGGTGATGAACAAAATACGGTTTTTCGGGTGGTTTGAATGACACGGTTCTCCCCTTGATGGCCCCAAAATATGTATTTCCGAGGGAGGGAAGAAAAGTTAGTGGACATTGCAGCCCACTTCCTGTTTCAAAGTATCACCGACAATGTTCGCACAACACAGCTAACCAGGTTTGTTGCAAACCAGCAGCTGGGTTCAGACAATATGCTAAATCAGATTAATCAGGATGGTTGAGCATGTTGTGGAAGCCATCCTGAAAGGTCTGTCTGTCTGTCTCTCTCTCTCTCTCTCTCTCTTTCTGTCTCTGTCTCTCTGTCTGTCTCTGTCTCTCTCTGTCTGTCTGTCTGTCTCTGTATGTCTGTCTCTGTCTCTCTCTCTCTCTCT